TGATTTTTTAAAATTTGCTAATTGATAAGTATGACAATATCTTCGTACATTTGGTCATCCTTATATATGGTCCATAAGATATAGTTTTTTCTATTACAAAACAGGAAATGCTTTTTTTATATTGAAGTTTTCAAATATGGATTATTCCCGAATAACTTCCCGTAGGGCAAGTTATAGTAATCGCAAAAAAATCGAAAATGAAAATTTTTATATATCTTTACGTTTCAAAGGTTTCTGAATATTTTGGCATATCTTAGAAAAAATGCATGTGTGTGTGTATGTATGTGTGTGTGCGTGTGTGTGTGTGTGTGCGGATACAAATTTTCGTCGACGATTCGGGAACACGTTCGATTCGTATTGATAAGGAGACGTGCTGATTAGTTTTTGGCGGAGGCAGGTCTAGCCGTTCCGAAGATACGGTGCAAAAAGTGCCAAAAACGGTAAACTCAGTTTTTAAGAGAACGAAGCGTCCGATTTTAATAATTCAAAAAACATATTTTGAATAACAGTCTTCAAAAAAAACGTTGATGATTATGTAATGAAAAGTAAATTTATTCTGATTCTTCTCTATACAAAATTAATATAAATTAATAATTATAACCACGTATTTAGTCATTTAGTTACTCAATTTCAGCCCCATCTATTTTAATGCATTCTAAAAATTTGTATTGAAACTATTAAAAATATTCAATTCTGCATTTGAATTTCAGCTAATATAATTATTAATTTAATTTTAACAATATTAGGCAATTTTATGTATTATTGTTTTTTTATCATATGTATTTCACAATATTTAGATTGCGAAAAATCAATTTAATAAAACTTCATACATAATTTTTTATTTTATATCTTAGTCTATTACATTTTTACATAATTTTTTGCGCAAAGTGCCGAGAGCTATTTTCATTTAGAAAGATATTTTTATAACTATATTTTCAAGTAAGAATTTAGATAAAAATCTATTCGATGAGAACATGATAACTTCGATAAATACATAATTCTGCAGATAAATGTATCAAAAATTGATCTAAAATAAAGTTTATTTTGAATGTCACCACGTATCAACAAGGGGGAGGGGGTCCAAAAAATCCTTAAAAAATCGATCACGTGATTGATGGACGCCTCCTGAGTTTGACTCACTCGATATTGGGATTTAATTTCACTCATTTAAGATTAAGATTTATACGAAAGATGTTTCAGTTTCAAGAATTCTGTCTGCTAGTTCTCGCTATTGCACCCATGTGTTGATAACAATATGAAATAATTCATTGCTCAAGAACCATCGCATCGTAATTAGCAATATTTATTATCTCATTGAGCATTTAATGTGACCCGTTAAACTCGAGGAGATGATCTTTGCTTTCTAATCAAAACGTAATTGTGTTGACCTAACACAGAAGATCTGCCTAAGAATATGCACAAATGTTAATTTTAGCACATTAGTATCCACTATCCACTATCCAGCGTCCGCGGAACTTCTTTGCCAATCGTCTATCTATTACCTGTTTTATTGCTGGCATTTATGAATCGTACTTTAACAACAAGCTGCTGTTTCAAAACATCTAATTAGAATTAACTGAAAGCTGCAAATTTTGACAGCAGAACTACGACTTTATGAACTATGAATAATTATTACGGAATTCATTGATGGACGTGAGGATTTTGTTTGAATTATACATGAGTTGAATTCAAAGAACAGCAGGTAATAGATCATTAATCATTAAAAGGGGTTCTATGATTTTTTAACGATTTATGTATTTTGCAAAATTGAAAATCTGAAACTTTATGTTATTAATATATTGTCAAATTATCAGTTTTTATTATTTCTGTAATATATTATAAAGGTAAAATGGTCCAACACCTATATCTAAAAAAAAAGTAATGTTAGGATGTTTTTTGACAATACTTGAAAGTAAAGGAAAAGAGCTTTTTTGTGTCCATCATCTTAAATCGAGCAACGTTGCTATCAGGAGATAAACGGCCAAGTTTGAAAATTTAACAAAGACATTTTCTTTCGTTGTTCGTTTTTTCCTTTATTGTGAACACTGTTGTTTACTTTACGAGACCTTAATATAATTTTTAAGTATACGCTATTTAATTGTTTTATAAGATGTATTGTTATTTTAAAGTTAGATTCGACAGATATTTTTATATAAGCTCTACAGGGTGTCCCAGAACTTAACGTCAAGCCGAAAAAAGTAATATAAACATTATCTGTCCTGCAAAAAAATAGAAAAAAATCTAACGTTGTTTCGAAATTATGAGCTTTCAAATGCAACCTAGAGCTTTAGTTAAATTATGTCTATTTTTCGATTTTTGTGGTTTGTGGTTAGTTTTTATCAATTTTGTTCATTTAAATTTTAGAAACGTAACCGTGAATAACATTTCTAGAATCGCAGTAAAAAATAATGAGACAACTACCTCAAGATTTAGGGAATTAGGATTTCTTGTTGAACTATGAATTTATGTTTTTTAAAATCGTTTGAATTGGAGGCCATATTTTTAAAAAAATGTACTAAGGTTTGTTGGCAAGTTTCATCAAAAGTTGATAATCAGGATTTTATCATTGAAAAAATTCGAGAAAATAAAATAAAAACCTTACAAAAGTAGTTTATTTGGTTTAGAGATAGTATGATTACTTAAAATAAAAAATTGGACCTTTATGTTTCTCCTCTCCTATATATATTAACCCTTTCCACTCGGATGCCGCCAAAATTCATATAAATCTCGGAATTAGGGAATGGAAAGGGTTACAACAATAATTAGAGTTTGGCATTTTTTAATCAATTGTAATGAATCTTTTATTTAGATTTTTTTTTATCAGAAGGCAACCCAATGCTTATCCTGTTCTAATTGAGATGATTTTCCAATTTTTTTAGCAATGCACGAAAGGTCTTTTACTTGGAAACCTTGGAAATTTGATCTATATTTTACCACTTATCCCTAAATCCTGAATTGGTATTTTGGTATTGTTGGGATTTGAGGATATTAAACAACCACTAGGAAATATCTAATAAACTGCGTCTATACTGAAATTCCAACGACTTTATCAAGATCAAACTATCATTTCATAAGTCACATATGTGTTTAGAAATAAGTTCGACAAATATTTCAAAACAAAAATGCATTTTTATTAATTGTGATTAAAATTTATCGTTTCGCCATATCAAAGATAAATCCATTACATGTGTACAAATCTAAACAAATTATTTTTTATACATTTCTTCCAAGAACTGATTATCCTCAGGTATTATTTCGTGGGCTTACTCACACATGAACTTTCGCAATGAGAAGTGACCGTGTTTTTTAAGCGAAAATTTCGTGTCAAAAGTGAACTGATTATATAATATATTGCCGGATATGTAGGTCAGAAAGATATTTTTTTTGTTTTTAAATCTTTCGATGTATTTTACGATACGCCCTCAAGAATATGAAAAGTTCAATATAATTTAGTTTGAAGCTTTAATACAGTATTTAAACTTAATACATTTTTTGGATGAAAGGTAATAGTTAATACAGTGCAAATTTTTGTTCGTATTGTTATGGAATAGTATTACTGGCTACAAATTTGTACCTATAATTAAGGATATATTATAGAATTTTGTACATCTTAAAATTTTGCTACGAGCTAACAATAAGAAGTAAGAATTTGGAAAGTTACGAAATTAATTGGTACGACTATGATTGTGCTATATATTTAAATATATCCACATTATGCTATTATACTTTCAAAAAATACGTTTTAAATAAATATTGTTTAATCATCAGATGTCAAGCATAGTTCGTCGGTTTCACTTAAAAAAAAATACATAGCAA